GGTATTACTGCGTATTACAAGGTATTACCGGGTATTACTGAGTATTACACTGTATTACAGTCATCGTGTACAGGGTATTACTGAAGTGAATACCCCCTCGGACGTTTGTGAGCGGATAAATAAAGCAGCTGTAAACGCCACCGCAAACACGGCGTAAAACAGTAAAACCGACTTAATAATGGAATCACACCTTGTTGTATGGGATCGCTGAGCGGGTGCAGGCTCTCCAGGACGTCGGGCAGCAGCTGCTCGAGGTAGTCGCTGGAGAGGGCGGCCGCGCTCACGCGCTCCTCCAGCTCCAGCTGGGCGCGCCGCGCCGCCGCGTACTCGGCCACCCGCCGATCCTGGAGAAAAATATGAAGATGAACTCACAAAGACGATGCACGTTAACGAAAAAATATATAGATAAGATCATTACATGTATAGCTAAACCTACAGGATAGCTACTTATTTTAAGGTGTAGATAAATTTTAAGCAACAGCTAAATTTTGAGCTAGAGCTAAATTTTGGGGTACTGCTAAAATTTGAGCTATAGCTAAATTTTCAGCTATAGCTAAATTTTCAGCTATAGCTAAATTTTCAGCTATAGCTGTAAGTTTTCAGTTATATAGCTAAATTGCCAGCTACCTTCTCCAGCCGCAGCCTCCGCTCCTGGTCCTGGAGCCGGTTCTGCTCCTCCAGCTGCTGCAGCCGCACCTCCTCGAGGCGCGCGCGCTGCCGGTGCGTGGCGGCCACCTCCTCCTCCTCCAGCACCTCGACGAGCGCCTGCTCCACGGTGCGGCCCACCAGCACCTCCAGCACGGGGGTCACCTCCTCGTCAAAGTCGAACAGCTATTGCCAGAGAGAAACACTCGTTGTTACAGTGGGTCAGCGCGAAGGACGGCGAAGTTCGTTATAAGGAATGTTAATGTGATTGATGGGCCAACCTCTCCTGGTTCGATCTGCGTCTCGGCGTCCTTGCCCACGACGGCGGGCACGAACGGAGGGGTGGGCGGCCGCTCCACGAACAGGTCCGTCTGGCAGCACACCTCCGACTCCAGGGGCTTGTCAAATATCTGAGGGGTAGAACCGACAGGATGACAGTGCGGGGTGCGGGTGAGACAAGTTTTTTTTAATGCGTACACGTTGTACACAATCACTGAAGCGTTTGCCTCAAAGCAAAAGTCAGCTATACTTTACCTCCTCGAGGTAGCGGTCCGTCTGCACGTCCAGGTGCTGCCTGCCGGGCACGGGCGGCGGGGTGCCGGCGCGGCCGCGGGCGCGGCCCTGCTGCTGCTGCAGCTGCGCCTTGCGCCGGGCGAGCGCCCTCCTGCGGGCCTCGGCCTGCCGCAGCGCCACCGTCGTCGCCTCCTGGGCGTCCTGAGGGAGGAGACGGTCGTGGTTATTTCCGGCCAGACTGCTTGTTGGCAGAAAGTTTTCGGCTTTATTCGGACTCTGGAGCAGAGTGTCGGGAAACGGCGGGGATAACTGTTTGGAAAGCGGCACGCACTGCCTGAAAACTGCGCCGTTTTTCCAAGCTATAGAGCCCCCTTTCCTCCCAAGCGGTCGGCTTGGGAGTTACCATTTCTGCTTTGGATCGCGGCATAAAAAGCCGCGTAAACTAAAGCGCAAGGAGCCCTGTTGTAGCTTCAAACGTGTGTGGAATTTCGTGCACATCATGATGACGTAATTCGTAAAGAACCCAAGCCGCAAATAAGCGAGGCATAGGGTAGGGCTAAAGGAGCCGCCAAGGGTCCGCATCGACCAGGTGCGCGGGGCGCAGGGCTATCAAGGCTGCGTGCGAAGGAAAGGGCCAGTCGGCAGGGGGGCCATGGTCGTCTCTCTCACTCATTCGCACTCTCTCACTCGCACACACAAACACTCGCTCTCTCTCTCTCCCTCAGGTCGACAGCGAGCAAGCGGGGTGGTTAAGAACGCAGCGCGGGCCGCCCCCACGCCGTCATATAGCAACGTCTTGCGGGGGGCCGGTGAGGTTTGGGCAAGAGCAGTGAGTCGGGCTAGCTACTGGCTACGCTGCGAAGCACGATGCTACAATAAGAACGATAACTACAGGGCAATGATGCGCGGCGCGGTGACGTCAGAGTGAAGCAGCGACGGATAAAGCATGAAGAAATAATCAAGCGACAGTCGGGAGAGCAGGTTAGAGGCACGCGTGGGGGCGGCAGCGGAGGTGCGGTGGTGTCCGTCTACTCGGGGAGAAGTAGGTTATTACGTGGTAATGACGCTGTTCTCACAGTCGCATCGAAAACAGAAATAATTTCTAATTAAAAACTTAACTTCTAATTGAGAAACTGTCTCTATATTTTGATGCACAAAAATGATAGCGGGTTGAGAGGAATATGGAATCCGGAGGAATGGTATGGAAGGTGAAGCAGACAGCACACGTCCAAGTGGACTCACCTGGCTGAGAAGCCTTGCAAACGCAAAATGCGGATTCCATTGCGGTTGCAGCTTTGTAAAAAACAGACCACCAGAGCACTTAGTCCCCGAGTAGAGTTGCTCTACACAAGTATACATTCTTCTAAACAGATAAGCAGCATGGCATGACATTTAGTTTTTGTTACGTAATGTTTTACTCTTTGGCGTTGCAACGGCTAGATACATCGTCGCGTGCAACACAGAGACCAAACCAAAATAAGAAAAAAAAACGGAATTTGTAGATATAAGTGCTTGCGAAATTGCTTGCGAAGTTTTCGACATGACAACGACAACAACATAAAAGATAACTGTCTCCGAAACAAGTAATTTCTACCCAACGAAAGCGCAGAGCAACAGAACAAATATATAAATCTATACAGGAGGGAGAAAATCACATGCTGCGACTCGGTTGACACGTATATCGGTCATCATCACCATCATCGCCCCGCTTGTCGGTCAACTGCCGACGTTAATGATTGAGCGATGTTGCGGCTGCGGTGAGGAAGGGAAGAGGGGGGGGGGGGGGGGGGGGGGGGGGGGGGGTAGGGGAGGAAGGGTATAGGGCAGCAACCTTTGCTGTTTACGCAGGTCGCCTGCTCCCGCCACGCCACACTGAAAAGGCAAGTGTGTGAATGTTACACACTTGTAGGCGCTTGTAGGTACGTGAATGTCGCATACAGGTAGGCTCGCTTGTACGTGTGTGAATAACCCATTCGTACCAGGTGATTCAGAGAAGACGCAGGTGCGAGCGGGTTTGCCTACCCAAGGGGCTATGGCGCCTTACGGGCAGAGCGGGTAGGCAAACCCGCCCCACCTGCGTCTTCTCTGAATCACCCGGTACATTTAATTAAGGGAGAAGAGGTGTAAATTTTCCTTGTGTACGAATGACGTTTACACACTTGGGTTTCAGGTGCACGACGTACTACACACTAGCCACAGACATACACGGTGGAGTCGCCTGGGGGGCGAGCAGCATTTTCCATATATTTTTTAAAACTCAAAGTGGTGGCTTACGTGATTGGCGCCACGTGCCCGTCCATCGACTGGGAACAAGTGGCGCAAAGCACGACGCCGCGCGATGCAGTGAGCACCAAGAAACAAAGCCCTCTCCGTCCGTCCGTCAGTTCGACCACACGACGACATTGGGCGAACGGGCGGGCGCTCGGGTGAGTACACTACTATAGGCCCGCCGCCGCCCACCGCCTTCCTGAATTGGTAACGGCTCTAGCCAAGACGTATCCGGGGCCGCGGCGGGCTCCGCGGGCCGCACGCACGTCCCCCCTGACGGACGGGCGGCGATCACCGGGAGGGCCCACTCGAGGGCCACGCGCCACGCCACGTGTTGTTAAAAACTTACACACTTTAAATGTATTAAAAACTTATCTACTTTAAAAGTATAAAAACTTACATGCTTGAAATGTATGAAAACTTACATACTAACTTGAAATGTAGAACTACTTCGATACATTAAATGTACAAAGAGATAATGCTAATTCAAGGGAGGAGATGCGTGTCTGTAGTATGTTAAGGTTTTAATTTAATTGTGTTGTGACTGATTTTAGTTTAGACATCGCTCGGGACGCACGTGGCACGCGCCGTCCAAAGGCCACGCGGTGACGGCTTCCCCCGATGCCTTGATCCGATACCCAGATACCCCCCCTCCCTCTCTTTTCCTCTCCCCTCCCCGGAGGGGTCCCCAGGCCCCAGGTGCTCCACCTCCAATTTCCCCTTCAGCTCCTGCGCGGCGCGGGCTCGCGGGCCGCGAGATTCTTATCTGGATGCAATTCGCAATTGTCTTGCAACCGGTCAGGGGGTTGCGTGCTGTCCTTGCAACCACAATGAGGTCACCCCGGCGGCGCGGGCGGCGAGGGCAGGACAGCGCTGATTGGC